ATATATAAAATTATTATCTAAAGTAAAATATTATATAGATGGTTTGATAGATGATGTAATTTTCAATTGTGTTAATATGATAGATGATGCATTTCTTTCATAATCGCAATTCTAATCCCATCCTAAAGGAAAAGTCCAATATTTTCATAAAAATATATTTCAAGTTCTATGTTTTCGGACATATAGTAGATAAGGAATCTATTAGAGCTTTAAACAGTAGTAATAGTCTTTTTATAAGGCCAAATATTAATGTTTTTGTTTGTTTAGGAATTAAAATACAGTATAATTAAAAGTTAGGAAAGGTGAGGTCAGTGTGTGTGGACCGATGCTACAGTTGAATATATCCAAGAATACGGTCAGGTTCGACCATCAATTTGCTAATGACAAAACAACTTGCTAATAGAATATTTACACCACTCGAACTGCCACGTCACATCACGAATAATATTTATTTCCCTCTTTATATGCTTTTTCATTTTTAGAATAATATTATCAGTAATCTCATAAAAACAAAACAAAATCAATTTGTTGGTATGAAGATGTTGGATATTTTAACATTTATTTACTTTCGTTTAAACTAAAACCAATGTTTAAAAAAGTATTAGACGCTAAGTGGACGATAACTTAATGTTTAGTGTCTAAAATGCATAATCGGAATCTAGATAATAATAGATGGTCTAAACGTTTTATAAAAATACATAATATATTAAATATATATAGTAAAATATATAAAAACCATAATTTATAAATAATAAAATTTATATTGTATTTGTATTTATCATTTTATAGCAAAAATACATAAAATATTATAATTTATATATAAGAAAATTTATATTATTTTATTATTATATTATCATAATATTTTAGACGATAAAACGTTAATATCTTTGGTTTATAGGGATCTAACACCTAAGAGCCGCTTAAGCAGACATCTACAACGTTTTTTAAAACACCAACTAAACCGACTAAAACTGATTTGTTTCTCAACTGATAAACATAATCCTATTGAGTTTTTGTTTTTCAAAATCAAATTTATATACTATGATTCTAATTATTTTTGATCATTTGTAGTGTTTCCAATAACAGAAAAATGTATGATTTTAATAAATTTCTAAAAATTACTTTGAACTTTGATTAGAAATTCATCTGGTACCAAAAAAAACCATATCTTTACATTATGTTTTCCATAATTATATTTAATTATTTAATCTACTTTATCTATAAATGTAAGTTAATTCTATAAAAACTATGTAAATAGTTTCGTTTGGTTTAGAAAAAAATACTTTGTCAACGTTATCGAAAAATTAGTTTTTTTTTTTATTACTATTGCATATTGTTTTATTTTTTTTAGAAAATTTATGTTCGAAAAATAATAATACACAATATATTTAATTCGTTTCATAAGAAAAGGTTACATTTCGCCGACTCTTTAAAATTTAAATTAATAATTATAGAGCTCCTCAGTTTTGACCTGACCAGACAAATCTTGATTCTTTGACACGAAGCTGCCATGAAATTATTCATTTTTACTTTTTCTTTTATGTCGATTTTCTTACAGATAAAATATGTATGACAATGATGCTGCTCTTGGACACGTGGTAAATATTGTCAGAAACTGAAAAGTTGGTAAGCTGGTAGCTCAATAATCCCTAATCCACCATTTTCCCATTTTATCAAATTTATATCCAAGTACTCAGAAGTTACAACTTAGAAGGCTGAAGGTATTCGAGATTTTAATTTCTTTATTTAAACTATAGGTTAATAGTAATACATTTGACTAATTCAATCTTAATCTTCGTACATGATCATGTAGCTCTTGGATGATTAAAGAATTGGATAATGTAGGTCTTCACCAGTTTCTTGGTGGATGGGCTGGGACCTCACGTTCAACATGTGCCTAATAAAATATACATGATCGACCTACCTACTGAAATCTCCCATAATCACTTACACAATAATTAAAACAGTAAGCAGAAAAAATGAATTTTGTTTCCTGACTAGAGTTACTTAATTCAAAACTGTATAGAAGTTTAAATATAAAGTTATGAACTAAATTATTTGTTAGGCTTCACTGTCGGGTGTCCATTAAACCAAAGTATGATCCATGTTTGACAATGGATTCTGATATAAGCACATAACTAACGTATGATTAAATTGTTTAAATTAGTCAATTAGTGAAATGATAAATGCGAGATTAAATGAATTGGTGCTGGACCATTTCCGAGAGTAAACTGACCATTGGAAACGGAAACGGAAGCCATCTTTACTGTCAACAACTTGGGATATCATCATGTCATCTTTGAATATGATGATGTTCAGGCAAGCTGCAGTAAGAGGCGAGAGCATTTTCAATGCAGGTATTTCACCAAGTTTTTCAAATACAGTATATATA